TTTTCCAATGTGGGATGGTACTATTTATAGTCCCCATATATTCCCACTTTTCCATTTCTAACCAATGTGGGATTGTTAATCCCTTTTAAGGCTCCTCTTCAAATCCCATCTTTCAATCAATGTGGGATTAATTTCACATACACAAGTGAAAATTCATTTGCCAAATAATATATTTTCCAACACCAAGTCCAAACCCTAGTCTTTACTTGAAACCTACTTCCAGAAACCATTGCCAATTTGGAGAAAAACATGAAAAGAACAGAAAATGACAACAACTTCGCCATTTTCAAAGCCTTATGAAAAGGCCTTAATTAAAATAGCAAAAAGCAAGATTTCTATTTTCTAACACAATTTTCTTGGCTAGTACTGCTTGGAGTTTTTGTGGTACTAACATAGGGAAATGTAAACCTATTTATAGTTGTAAATGCTAAGGTTTTGGTACGTAAATATTGCCACATATAAGAATTTTAGAATTGCGGAACAGAACACATTGTGTGGATGAAAACGTATATGGCATGCAGTGGAAAATCTGTTGGATCCTCAAGTGATGGCCATGTTATAAAGAGAGAGTGCCGACCCACAATTAATCCACTAACAGTATATAAATATATTTGCTGTCCCTCCACAATTCCACATATTGATTGCAGAGAGCAGAATGTGCAATTTTTGGTTAGAAAATGTAGATTTGGAAGACAATCCAATCGTCGGAGGATTAGAAAAAAGGATACGTATAATAGATAAATAATTGAGGAACCTTCTGGATTTGAGCTCTATGATTTTGATAGCTGAATTTGTACGTTGAAGACTTCAATTTTTTAGTAAATTTTAATTTACACCAAACATGGACTTGATATTTTATTGGTTACAAGTAAATTGATGGTAAACTCTTGTGAATGGAAAATGCTAAGTGTACGTAATAAATGTACATAATGGATGACATAATGTGATGGAGCAACCATTCGTCGTTGATGTGAAAGCGTCAGATTTGAATTAAAAGTGTTGATCAATGCCACTTATAATTATGTAGATCATTATGTACTTGTATCATCACTCATTGTGAATGAGGTGTCCTCAACTAAAATTTTTGTGGATTTTAAATGACTGTAAATTCTAATGAATTTTGTGGATTTGAATAGAGTTCCACAAATTTCATAGAATCTCATTAAATATGATGAAATTTCAAAAGATGTGGTTATATGTATTTTTGAACTTGAAATCCATCCAAATCTTTTAAAATTCATCCATTAATAAAATCTTTATAAGTCTACTAGTTATTGAGGATATCTAAATTTTGAAGAATTTCATTAAAATTTTAATTGGAGACACCTAAATTTTAATGAATTTTATTAAAATCTGTTAAAATTTCAATTGAAGACACCTAAATTTAAAAGTGGTTTCAAAATTCATCACAATCTCATTGAGGACACTCCTCGAAATCTCACGTTCACTAAGGCTCCGTTTGATAGCCTTAGTTTTCCATGGAAAAGGTTTTCCACCTTTTTCTAGGTACAATCATTTGATACACAAAAACTTGATTTAGTTTTTTCACTTATTTGGAGGGAAAACATTTTCCACCATTTTTTTATTTCATATTTTATTTTTTANAATTCCCAGGAAACATTTTATAGGAAAATCATTTTCCTGTAAAACATTTTCTTTCCACCCATTTTCTACCATTACAATCAAACGGACCCTAAGATTTTGCCGATTGCATATCTTAGCAAGTTATAATTTTGTTAATCAGTCGGTAAAATCAGTTTAAGTCAAGATTATTGTTTCCATTTAACTAAAAAAAGTTAATAACAGCAAAAAAAAAATACACAAGACTTGTAAAGCAAGTAATCTTATTATAGATAGCTCAATATATCAACTACTGATACATGGAAAGGATGTACATCTCAACACAAATTATTTAGATAGAACATTACATAATAAGTTCAATTTAAAGAGGGTGTTTGAAACCCATTTTTTGGAGAATGAAATTTTTGGAATAGTGATTGATGAGAGATTATGTGGTGGAAAAGTTATGAAAAGTTTTAGATTTGTGTGTAATATTATTTTATTGGAAGAATATGTGGTTGAAATGAAGAGAGAGAAAAAAATGAGAATGAGAATGAAAATGAGAATTAGATAAAAATGGGTGTCAAACAGGGCCTTAATTAGGGGAAGCATTTTTTTTTCAGTTTAATCGCCATTGATGCCCACTCCCTTAATGGCCACCTGACCCAGACCTTGCCCTAGAACCAGCATAGGACCCGGCTTCAGAACTTGTTTCTGACCCGAATCCAGATCTAGACCTAGACTCAGCGTAGGACCCGACTTTAGATCCCGCTTCAGACCGTGACTCCGACCTAGAGGAAGGTGCAGAACTGGATGATGAGCTAGAACTCGACCCAGAGCCGGATCCTGACCCCGCACCAACACCAGAGCCACCACCACCTCCGCCCAAACCAATGCCAACGCCTGCACCGGCTCCTAGTCCAACCCCAACTCCATCGACATGGGTGGACTCAGGGGGTCCTGGGGGGCACGTGTCTCCCCCCCTCCCCCCCCAAATTTTGAGTATTTTAAGACACTCATTAAAATTCCTAAATACACGAATAAAAATAAATTCGTCAATAATAACTCTAGATTCATATAGATTAAGATTCATTAAATCCAGATTAACGTGAATGTCAATTAATTGTGAATTAATAATATGAAATTCATACACGACAAAATTTTTGTAGTGTTTATTACATATTGAAAAATGAAAAGTAACGTATTATTAAAATAAATAAATTACAATAAGGCCTGTTTGATTGACCATTTTTTCCTAGGAAAAAGAAAATCAATTTCCAACATTGTCAAAATGCAGTGTTTGATTGGACAAATTTGGTCAAGAAAATTCCCCCCACCCACGCGCCCATGTTCCTTGGATTTAGGGAAAAGGCTTTCCCACAATTTTGGTGAGAAATGCCTTTTACAGTGTGACGTCATTTTTTTTTTCAATGGAAACAATTTCATAACCAATTATATAACCAAAAAAAAAAAAAAATCACTTTAATTGACAATTTTTATATAAAACAAAGCCGAACGAACATTAAATTTTGATAAAAAAATGATTTTTTAGGAACATTATTTTTTTTCAACTTTTTTTTACTTTTTGGAAATTGAAACAAATTTTATAATCAATTGTAAAAAAAATTATCACTTTAATGGACAGTTTTCATGTAAAACAAAGCCATACGAACACAAAATTTAAAAATTTCCCAGGTGAAAAATTATAACAATCAAACACATTTAATTTACAATTCTCTGAAAAAGTCGTCAAAAAAAAAAAAAAATTCTCTGCAAAACAATTTTTAGGCAATTACTTTCCCTAAAATTCATTTTCTTTCCACCCTTCCAATCAAACGGACTCTAAGATTAAAATCGTCCAAAAAAATGATTCTCACACTCCATGTGATATTTAACCCTTATTTGAGCCTCATTTTTTTTTTTATCAAAATGAATTATTGAACAGTGATTTGATCTATTTCAACCACACATTCTTTAATAAAATAGTATTTCAAAACTTTTACTTATTTTTTAACCACAAATTCTTCGTTATAACACTGTTGTAAAATGCATTTTTTTTAAAAAAAGGGCACTTAATATATTATACATTTCATAAAAATAATAATAATAATAATAACCAATTTTCGGATTCCCCTTAAATTTCCCAATTTTAGCCTCCACTCTCCGAAATAGAAAATCAACTTCACGTAGGTCAAGATCCCAAAGCACTTGCGTTTACAATCTCCCATTTCTGCATATTCAACGAATACAGGAATACTCTCATCAATTCCATTTCCAATGGCTGAGGTATTTCACAACTATCGTTTATTTCGTTTTTTAATTCGTTAGGGTACAAAAATTTACGATTTCAAATTATGAGGGCACAATTTTTACTTTTTGGTATGCTAGTTGCAACTCTGTTATTTATGTATAAAAATGGATGTTCTGTTCCAGCTATTTGTTGACTCGTTCATGAGGGCATCTCTGTTAAATCTCGTGTGTTTTGCGGAATGAATTTTGCTATTTTGTTCTTATTTTACCATGTAAAAATTGGTTTCGTTTAGGTTGAAGGGTCTGCAATGTAAAATTTGATATATATGAATTGATTTCACGATCAATGGGTAGTTATAACAGAAGTTATTGATCCGTTATCAATGAGGTTCTTTATGTTTTTGCTTCTGTTTGACTTCTTGATTCAGATTGAGCTGAAAACTGCACCAGCTGATTTTCGATTCCCAACTACCAATCAAACACGACACTGTTTCACCCGATACATTGAGTTTCACAGGTAAAATGTAGTACTTTTTATTGCAGTTTGATATTCATATTTGGCTGCTGAGTTTGATCCTATTTTTCAAAGAGTTGTTGATCATTTTAAAATTTGACAAAAGTGATTCATTTGTGTTAATGGCTTATTGCGATATAACATGATGAGGCTAACATTTTTTGAAAGATTATTGGAGCACAGTATACGCGTTTATGATTATTTTGTATTTCTTGGCTTACCGGTGTTGAGAGTGCATATCTGCATTTGATAGTGTGTGACTTGGCTCCCGTTGTCACTAGTTTACCTAGATTATTTAGTTGGATCATTATGTAATTTGGCAAAATTGTCAAACAGAAAATATATTTATGCCCAAGTTTTGCCTGCACTTGTGAATTAAATATATAGAGATATGAAAGTATCTTGTATTGTTTTGTGAGAATCTTTTAGAGCCTTCTACCGAGTTTATAAAAGAAATTATCTTATATCATTAGGTCCTTTATCTGCATAGATCACTTCATTAGGATGAGAGGACAATGAAGGGGGTTTGTGTGAGTGGAGTTCGATCTGTGTGTTATTTGACCCCATTTTATGTGAGTTTGGAGCTATACGGTGGCTCTTCTTTATATTGGTTCTCAGGACTTGATTGGAAATCCTATAACCTGACTTTTGGTATAGTTTTATCATGTGAATGGACTTGCATAATAGTTAAAGGATTCTGACTCTAAGCTATTATTTTACTTCCTTTATTATTATTATTATCATTATTTTTTTGTTGTGTGTGTTGCACTAGGTAATTATGATTCTTCAAGAATTATTCCTCGAACACATTAACTGGGTCTATTTATTCAGATGCGTAGCTGCGAAGGGTGAAGAATCTGGTGATTGTGGAAAGTTTGCCAAGTACTATCGTTCCCTTTGCCCAGGTGAATGGGTAAGTTGATATTCTCATAGGTCCACTTCAAAGCATTAATGTCATGGTTGTTTCTCGTGTAAAGGTTCTTGCCCCTGTTTGGTGGCTTCTGTTTCCTTTTTTTTCCTGTGTACGTGTCTTCTTTTTTGGGCTTGGGGGTGGGGATGGCGAGGAATAATTGTCCTGGAAAGAGACTGTGCTTTTGTTTCATGTTAGATTCCTGCATAAAGCGGTTTGATTTCAGTTCTTGAGGTTAACATATTTGTTGGCATTAAGCATGTATATTGTTAATAAAATTATTGGCCAAGTGAAGATGTATATAGATTGTCAAAACTTTCAGATCTTATGGCAACGAGTTGGCAAATGACTATGCTTTGCTGATTAAATTGGTTGATCCAAAATGTGAATGAATTGTAGATGGGAAAGGATTTCTATGCTCTCCGATACCTATTGTATGGTGGTGAAATGAGATTCAAAAAATATGAATTAATAGTAGATGGGAGTGGATGTCTATGCTCTCCAATACCTATTGTTTGGTGGTTAAATGAAAAACTGTTTAAGATATATAAAATTTATTTTAAAAACATCAAAATTATAGAAATGTTTAATTTGGGAAAGTGGATTGAAACAACTCAATTATATAGGAAGATAACCAATTTGAAATAGAAGGATAGATGTTTTACATAACGTATGTATCAGGATTACTGGCAAGTGCAACATTATGTTATTACCTTGTACTTGTTATCCCGGGCCCAGTTCAGAATTGGCGGTGACTTTAAATTTTTTTATGTATGCCTGTTGCTCAAAATGATTCTCTCTCTGTTTGCTTGTTATTTTAAGGTTCTAATCTCATATATATAGAAAGTCTCGAGGCTAAATGCCTTTGTATGCCATTTTCCTAAATTATAGAAGCTCCAAGCCTGCAAGAGTAGACTTGTTGACTGTGTTACCGAAAATCGAAATAAATATGCCCTCAAAACCATGAAAATGGTTCTAATCAGTGTCCAAATGGTCGATCGATTGACCTCGATCTTGACACCAGGAGTAATGACTTCCCCTATTGTTTTCCTCACAATCTGCCAATCTTTTGTCGTCAAAAATCTGACTTTCTCCATTATGTGCCATAATCTTCTAAAAGTTCCTAATTGCTCTAGTGACTAACTAAATAAAATAGATAAATGGGAGATAGAAGAGAAACAAA